CAGAGATTTCCTTCAATACTAGAGGCTAAATAAAACAAAATGAAATAAACATTAGCCCCCTTCTCTTAGTTTGTGTAGATTGGCTGTGGGCTGGGGCACTTCTTTAACACTTGGTCGTTTAAAAGAAGGTCGTTTAAAAGAAGTGCCTTGGCTCCCTAGAGACTAGAGGTCAGCCTTGTTTGGGGTCTTCTCAGGTGTGCTTTGAACATGTATTCTGCCCTGGCATGCATGTCATTTTCTCAATTCTCCAGGGCACTCAGATACTTTTGAATTGTCCTAATTTCCCAAAGAAACTCATTCCCTGACTTTTCCTCTCAGGCCTTAGGCAATACATTGTATGTCTCAACTTTAATCTTTTACCCCCAGTGCTGCATGTTTTTTGTTCACAGTGTTTTTGAGCAATGACTGTCACTTACCCTCCCCTCTGTCACATGGTTTCCAAGTTAGGAAAAACAGTTACATGCCTTTCATCAGTCCTGCAGTTGTCCCCCAGACAGGTTAGAACAAACCAATAATTTGCAAATAAGCTCAGCCTCTGCTCCCTCCAGAATGAAGATTTAGGGTCCCAGACTGGGAACACTGTCTTTAAGACTGCTGCTGAGCCAAAGAAGGCTGGGCCAGGGAGAGTACAAATGCCACAAAACTTTTCTACAATTTCCTTCCCCCCATTTTAAAACTGTAGTAAATACTCTCCTATTTTGAAACAGTCTTTCTTTTGACTCAGCATTTTCTTGGTTGATAAAAACCTTTGACGTTTTTCCAACTGACTGTTTTCTAGCAAAGTTGATTTTATAGTTGCTACTTGTTTTTCAATGTTTCTGTGGAGGGATGAGGGATAGGAGTTTGGAGCTGCCTACTCTGCCATTTTGCTGAGATCAAAAATACTAGTGGAGGGGCTGGGGATATAGCTCTGTTGGTAGAGTGCTTGCTTCGCATGCACATGGCCCTGGGTTCAATCAATCCCCAGCACCATTAAAAAAAAAATGCTAGTGGATAACATCTTTTCTTTGTATGTCTCAGTTCCTTGCTTTGTAAAAGGAGATGAGGCAGGTAGCTGATGGTAAGGTTTTCCTTTTGAGGAAAGTGAGAAACACAAGCAAATCCTATTCTAAGTCCAAGATCATTTTGTGTTGGGCCTTCTACCCACATTGGTCATAATGGTCCTCTCTTTGGTGGGTGCTACAGGTATTTCTCAGTCTTCAACTTGTGCTTTTGGGGCCTGTGCAAATAAGTTATGAAGACATTCTCCTGTGTTTTCTTCTAGAAGCTTTATAGCTTAAGCTTTTAACATAATTCTGAGATCCACTTCAAATTAATTTTTGGGTTCTGTATGAAGTAGGTGTCAAGGTTCATTTCCCCCTCTTTCCTTTATTCAGTTCTTTCAGTGTGAAATTTATTGAAAAGGAATTTTTAAAAACAAGGATAGAAAGAAACTTCCTTAATCTAACAAAAGTAGCTATGAAAATGAAATGGTGAAATATTGACTGTCCTCAACCCTAAGACTGGGAATAAGAGAATAATATCACCTCTACCACACTTCTATTCAGTATTATATTAATAAAATATTAATTTTGTTGAAAAGACTTTCCTTGGACACTGCATAGCTCTTGCATTTTAGTAAAAAAAAATCAATTAGCTGTACATACATGGGACTATAACTGGACCCCCTATTCTGTGACATTTAGCTATTTACCTGTTCTTGTACCAATATTACACTGTCTTGATCACTGAAGCTTTATAGCAAATATTAAAGTAATGTAGCATGGACTTTTTTTTTTTTTTTTTTTTTTTTTTTTGGTACTGGGGATTGAACTTCACCTGAGGCACATCCCCAGCCGCATTTTGTACTTTATTTAGACAGGGTCTCACTAAATTCCTTAGTGCCTCGCTTTTGCTGAGGCTGGCTTTGAACTTGCGATTCTCCTGCCTCAGCTTCCCGAGCCACTGGGATTATAGGCCTGCACCACTGCACCCAGCTCAACTTTGCTCTTTATCAAAACAATTTTGACTATTTCTATGTCCTTTACTTTAGCATATAAATTTTAGAATCAACTAGTAAAACATCTGTCAGCACTTTTAGTGTGATTGCATTGAATCTACAGATCATTTTGGGGGAGAATTGACATTGTAATAATATTGAATCTTCTAATATATGAACATGGCATAATTCTCCATTTATTTAGATCATTTCGTTTTCTCAGAAGTACTTTGTAGTTTTCAGTGCAGGGGTATTACTTAGGATGTTTCATGTAAATAGTTGTGTTGTTACTAGTTCTTTTTCAATCTTTATGCTATTTTTTCCCAGCTTTTTTGCATCAATTAGAACCATTAATACAATACTGAATAAAGTGTGGTGGAGGTGGATAGTCTCGGCTTATTCCCAATCTCAGAGTGGAAAACATTCAATATTTCACCACTAGATTTTCATAAATGCTTTTGTCAGAATAGGGAAGTTCCTTTCTATTCCTGGGTTTAAAATTTTAAATTATTAAGATCACATGCTTTTATCCTTTTTTTCCTATTAATATGGTGAGTTACAATGAAATTCTGAATGCTGTAGCAACCTGGTATTTTTGGAATGAATCCACTTAGCCCCCAAATATTGTCCCTTTTTACTTTAATATACAATTCTGGGTTTGATTTGGTCACATCTGTTAATGACTTTTGCATCTATATTCATGAGATCTATAGATTAAATTTTACTTTCTTATTTTTGTTAGATTTGATGTCATGTTGGGAAGTATTTCCTCTTTATTACTCAAGAGTTTGGATAAGATTGGTATTATCTCTTCCTGAAGTGTTTGATATAATTCACCACTGAAACCAGGTTAGCCCAGAGACTTCTTTAACAAGGATTCTTGATAAAAAGGTCAGTTTACCTAATAAATGTGGGGTTACTCAGATCATCTATTTATCCTTCTGTCTGTTTTGGTCAATTCTGTTTAACAAGGACTCTGTCCAGTTTGTCTAAGCTATCAAACTTACTCTCATAAAGTTTTCAAAATATTCCCTTATTATCCTCTTCATGCCTTTAGGATCTGTAGTTCCCACATGTCTGCTACTTGCCTTCTTTCATTGTAGTAGTCCACCTCCCTCATTCTCCATATTCATAATTTGTATTTTTTCTCTTTCTAAACAGCGTTGCTAGAAATTGGTTAATTCTATTAACCCTTTAAAAATCAATTTTGTCTCTGTTAACTTTCTCTATTGTTTTAGGTTTTGTTCCACTGCTTTCTGCTCTTATTTATCTTAAACTCTCTCTCCTATTACTTACTTTGGATTTACTTTGCTTTTTGTAGCTTTCTTAGGTGGGAATTTAGAGAACTTAGTTTCAAGCCTTCTAATCTGAGTATAAACAGCTACACATTGTTCCCTAAGTACTGCTTTTGCTGCACCCTATAAATCTTGATGATGTATTTTCTCATTCATTCAGATCAATGTATTTTCTCCTTTCCATTGTCATTTCTTCTTTTATCAGCGGTGATTTAGAAATGTGTTGTACTACTTCCAAATGTGTTTGTATTTTTTTTTAACAATTTCCACCCATGATTTCTAAGTTAATTATTTATGATATCAGAGAACACATCCCATAAGATTTTAATCCTTTGGAATTTATGGACATTTATTTTATGCTCCACAATATGGGCTATCTTGGTAAATGTTCTACAAACACTTGAAAAGAACATATTTCCTATGTGGTTGGGTGTAGTGTTCTGATTAGTATTAGGTGAAGTTAGTGTGCATATTCTCCTCAAGTTCTCATGGGGTTGTCTCAATAAACTCAAAATAAATTAAAAATGCCATAAGTTGAAGATGCATTCCATGGATCTAACCTACTGAACATCACGGCTTACCATTGTAGTCACTGTAGACTGTTGGTTGTTTACTCTTGTGATCTTGTGGCCGATGAGGTTGTGGCTGATGCCTTGTATCAGAAGAGAGTATCATACTGAGCATTCTAGCCTGGGGAAAGTTGCAAATTCAAAATCTGAGGTACCCTTTTGTCAGGGACTGTCTATAGTGTTGTTCAAATCTTGTATAACTTTATCAATGTCTTGTCTTCACTCATCTATTAATTATTTGTGAGGAAGGTATATATGTATAAATACGAATATATATAGTGAATCTCATCATTATGTTTATCCACAAGACATGAAATTTTAAAAAATTTAAATAAATAGATCAGTAGTGTAGAGGAAAAGGGAACAGGGGAGAGAAGAGGGGAAAGGTAAGAGTAAGTATTGGGGACTTAATTGGAGCAAAATATACTCCCTACATTTTTAATTATGTCAAAATAAATCCTAATATTAAGTATAGCAATTATGGACCAATAAATTTTTTAAAGGCACAGAGGGAGGCTAGGAGTATAGCTCAGTAGTAGAGCACTTCCATAGCATGTGCAAACGCCTTGGGTTCAATCCCCAGCACCACCACTATGACAATCACCACAACAATCCCCCACATACAAGGATTCACCTTTTTTTGGTACTGGGGTTTGAACTCAGAAGTGTTCTACCACTGAGCTACATCCACTACCCATTTTTAGTTTTTGAGACAGGGTGTTGCTAAGTTACTAAGGCTGGCCTTGAACTTGTGATCCTCCTGCTTCAGCCTCCTGAGTCACTGGAATTGCAGGAGAGCACCACTGCACCAGCAAGGATTCAATATATTTGAAGATGCGTTCACAAACACACACCACGCACAGGAATTTCCACCTTCTCAGAATTTCTACATACATACACACACACACAATTTGTATATGATTTTTATATTGCTATTGATTGTACTAGTTTGGCCCCAAATCCCTACAGAATACTGGTAACCATGATCACATAGCTATCAATAAGTCTTTCTTATCATTACAGGTATTTTATTTTCAAGAGCAAATGTTTTCCTCAAGCAATTAAAATAGAAGGTTACTGGTACCAGGAAAAGGTTTTCCCATCCTAGCAAACTTCAATTAACCAATGAAAATCCAATTTTAATAGGGATTTAGAGGCTGCTTTTGCTAAAAGCTCAGACTCTGAGCCTGCAGATGCCCAATGGGTAACTAAAAGCAGGATAAAAACTTGGCATCCTGGCCTTTTTGTATTGTGTCTGCTTTTGCTGCCTTAAACTTTGGGTCAGACCTGCTCAACTCTGCACATAGGCATGGTTAATCATTTAAGGAGTGTCTGTCTAAAAACTTGTAATTCAAGGTTGATTAACCCTAAATTTACCTAACCACTCTAGTCCCTCTTCAAGGCTGAAGGCACTAAGATAAGAGTAACTAAGGTATTTTCAAGATTTGCAGAGACATCATATTCCACAGATTGTCAACTGTCAGCTTTTACAATGTCCTGTTCCAGAAGCCTGGAGTGGTATCTAGAAGTCTTCTGTCATTGTCTTAAACCTGCCAAGAACAGTGAGCCTTGCAGGTACATCACTCCACCATGAGACTGCACCCCTTCGCAGGATCCATTACCCCATGATGGGAGCAGAGATTGTTCCTCTAAACAGAAGCAATCATTTCACTATGGAAACTGGGTGGCCCTTTCAAGTGATAGACTTTTCATAGAACCAGGAACTGAGATAATGATCAACAAGGCCACAGTTTCATCAAGGGGGCTTAATTGTGTATAACTTTTACCCCTGCCCCAATTCTTCCCATTTAAACCAGAAGCTTATGTCAGTAACCCAAAGATGAGGCTGAGGATACTTGGTGTCCCTTGTCTTTCTGGTATAGCTACCTACTTCACCACTGCTTTTTCCCACTTGATATTTGGGACAAGTAGCTGGACCTGGTACACTGGGCCTCACTGAAGTGTCATTCCCCCTGGCCTAGGACTCTGGCAACACTACATTTCCTTTTTGCTTTGGCTGTTTAAATACAAAACTCAGTTGTAGAAAACTAAGGAAGGATAAAGGTTTTGTTTTTAGGACATATTTGAAGTTTCATTATTTATATCCTTTAAAAGGAGCCACTTTAAATCCTTTTTCAAAGAGTTTATTGATTTTTAAACTTCAATTTGTCACTATATAGTGGGGATAGGCAAACTTTAGCCCATGAGCCAAATCTAGTCTGCTGATTTTGAAAATAAAATTTTACTGGAACACAAGTGGTGCTCATTCATTTATGCCATCTGTTGCTGCTTACGCCCTAACATAGCAGAGTTGAGTAGCTGCACTGGAGATCATTTTTAGCTGCAAAGGCTGAAATAGTTAATCTGGCCCTTTATAGAAGGTCTGCCATTCTTTCTCTATAGGATCCCCTCCCACATTCTACCTCAAAAGCTCTAACCCAATTCTCATTTTGTGTTCGTGACATTTTTTTTTCAAAACTGAATTAATATCACCTGTACTTAGTTTAGATCAGATTTTTTTTTTTTTAAGGAACAAAACATCAGTTGCTTCCTTACTGGTGTAGTAAAAAAATTGCCCAGGTCCTAGTTTTCCTAGGACAAGATAAAGTCTTTAAATTTTATATCGACATGTATTTTAGTTCAGAAACGTTTTTATTCAACTTTTCTTATTGCTCCTATTTTATTTCTTCTGATTTCTTTTTCAGAATTTCTACTGCTCGTGGGATTGGTCATCTGGGGCTAACCTTTTTGTCATTGGCCCTTTCCTTCCCATACCATATTGGACGATTTAATAAATTTGTCAACGATATTACCAGTTTTATTCTCTGTTGTGATACTTCTGTTCTTTTAACTACATTCAAATGAACATAGATTTTGTCATTGGACTTTTTAAAGACTTTCTGCATGTTTTTTCTTCTTTCTCATCTCTCTTTCTTTCCTTTTCTGCCGCCACCCATGTTTTTCCTTCGTGGTTTTTATTATTCCCTGCTTCTGTCACCAAGAGAGCCAATTCTTTTAGGCACCTGCTAAAAACACCAAGGAAATGTTTTTCAACTTCTCTTGCTTCTTACAGAAATATGTTTTGTAAGACAGACTTATTCTATCTTCTATGTTGTCCTTTGGAAAGTCTCTACACAGGCTCCTGTTGATTTTGTTGTTGATGCTTTGGTTCTTGTATTGTTTTTCCTATTTGCCAATGTTGGAGTGAAGAGGGAGCCAATCAACTCTGATGCTTGTCAAGGATGGGAAGACTGCCCTCCAGCAGCACCCTCTCTATGGGCACAGCGTGAATGTATGCGTTAGATCTAAAGTTCCATGGTGGGTTGATGTGCCGTTGTATAAACTCATCAACATTTATTTTTTCATTCCAGTAGAGATGGACACGTGGGCTTCACGTTTGGGGACTGTGATGAACAGTGCCTCTGTGAACATTCTTGTCGTGTCTTCTGTTGTATATTTAAATAGGAGAAGTGCTGGGTGATGGGGTGATGAACATTTTCAACCTCAGTATATAATGCCAGTTGTCCTACGCATGGCAAACCAAAACTACTTGAGAAAAATTCAGCAACATTTCTTTTGGTTTGATTCAACAATCCAGGAGATTATCAGAGTAAAATGTGAAAATGAGACAATTTTCTCTTCAAGTAGAACATCTAGAAAAGCAGCAAAGAGAACAAAGCGCTTCCACTTGATTATTGTTACTGAGAATTATTTTAAATTATTGGGAGTTTAAGAAAAATAAATCTTTTTCCTCAGGAATCACATGTTGACAAGCCCACGAGAACTGTACACCTTGGGAGAAGCACAGATGCTGGAATTCTCTAGATGATTTATACAGCTTCCTTTTAATTTTTTTTTAAATCATAACCTGCAAAAAACAACACAAATGTTTAAATCATGTCATCTTTCACAAACATAATTACCAGATCAATGCATCTGGAAAATTACTGTAATACAATGAAATGAAGTCAGACAGCCTCAGCCATACCCTAACTCTGCCACTTATGAGCCCTGTGGAGCCAAATGCTTCTTACCTCACTGTCCCAGTTTCCAAATTCTAGAACTTAGAAAGAGCTTTACATTGAGCAGGCTATAGTTGAAAACAATATATGTACACTGTGAAATATTCAAACTACAAAAGGACATGAAAATAAGTTTCCCTGCCTCCAATATCACCTCCAATCCCCAGGTTCCATGCCTACCAACAAGAACTTCCAATCTCTTGTTGATCCTTCCAGAAATATTTTGCATCTATTGAGTCAAAATAAATGTGTATATGGGTTTTTACTCCCCCACCCCCTCTCTCTCTCTGTGTGTGTGTGTGTGTGTGTAAACAGAAGATACAAACACAATAATAATTAAATACATCATGTTTCATTTTTGTCACCTTCGCATAAAGACCATAGCTACTTATAAATTTTTCAGTTTTATCATTTTGAACGTATGTTGTCAAAACAAGTGGGTTGAACATATTTTATCTAATGGCATATCAGCTTGATTTATAATTTTTAGATATTTTCATATACTATGAAGCTTCAATATATACTCCTGACATGGGCCCGCAAACATCAGGAGCAGGCCTGCTTATGAATGTTCCAAAGGGTATTTTTCTGAGGAAACTTTGTTTGAGAGAAGTGGATATGCAGATGTTGGAGGTCATAAATATTGTTCCTGATTGTCTTTCCATTTCAATTTGACTTACTGCTCGTATCTTTTACAATTTTATTCTTTGAATTGACAAAGATTGTTCATACTTGTCAAGTACAACATGATATTTTGGAAGATGTAGCCAATGTGAAATGGCTCAACTTGAGATATTTAACACGTGCATTACTTCACATACTTTGAATTTTTTGTGGGGTGATCACTCAAAATCTCTCTTGGCAATTTTCAAAACACAGTACATTGTGATTATGCATAGCCACCATGTTATACAATTTGAATTTGTTCCTTCTGGAATAAATTTTTTATTATCTGACCAACACCTCCCCAACCACTTCCTCCAGTCCTTAGTCAACACCTTTCTATTCTACTTGTATGAGTTCAACTATGTTAGACTTTACATTGAAGAAAGACAATGCATACTTGTATATGTATGCTTCTTGCTTGGCTCTTTGCATTACTCTGGTATTTCTGTGTCCGGTTTATTTCACTTAGTATAAAATGCTCCAGACTCATCCATGTTTTCATAAATGACAGGATTTCCTTCTTTTTCAGGCTGGATAGTATCAATTGTGTATGCACACCACAGTTTCTTTATCCATTCATCTGTTCATGGCATGTAGGTTTATTCTATTACCTATTGTGAATATTGCTGAAATGAACATGGGAGGATGGATGTCTTCTCCACATACTGATTTTTATTTCCTTTGGATATCCACCCAGTTAAGGGATTGCTGGATCTATTTTCATTTTGGCGGTCGGGGGGTGGGCACATCTATAATGTTTTCCATGACAACTATACTAATTTAATTTCCCACCAACAGTGTTGCAAAGTGTTCCCTTTTCTGTACATCCTCTCCAATGCTTATCAATCATTTTCTTGATCACAGCCATCTTAACAGATGGGAGACGGTATCATGTGGTTAAAATTTATTTGCATTTTTCTAGTGATTAGTGATAGTGATCATTTCTTCATGTACCCATCGGCTGTTTTTTTTAAAATATATATATATTTATTTTAGTTGTAAATGGACCTTTATTTTATTTCTATGCGGTACTGAGACTCAAACCCAAGGCCTCACACATGCTAGGCAAGTGCTCTACCACTGAGCCACAAACCCAGCCCCCCATCGGCTGTTTGTATGCTTTCTTTTGAGAAACATACAAACTATCACAGCTACAGGCCAGTTGTGCCAGGGAAGTGGGGTAGGTTGCAGAAAGGCCAAAGAAAGTGCTAACAGCAGGCACGGCATGGTTTTGGGGAGTGGGGTGGGGGCTTACAAAGGATAAGTGACAGCTCCAAGAAGAATTTAGTGGTGACAGGCAGAACCAGTGGCACCTTCTTCCTTCCTGGCACCTTAACAAGTAGTGCCTCCAATCCCCATTACAATACACTACAAAAAAAAAAAAAAAAAACCCTCCAGGCTTCATGGTGCTTTACCAATGGCAGCTGGCTGGCTGAGTGACATCCTTTCCACAGTGCCCACAGTTCCATACCAGTTGCCACCAAGAGAGGGGTTGTATGTGTTAGGCTGCAGAAGCAGTGACATCATCAGCATTGACTTGTAGTCTGTTTATATGACCAGCATCCCAAGGAACAACTTCCTGGTGTACATATAAGAAAGCAGCTTTCTATAGATGACACTAACTTGCCTTAGTCTCACCGTGCATAAGAGAAAGTCAGCGCCCTGCAAAAAATAATATGTGTCTGGGCGGACTTGCTCTTATTGCTCTCTTAACTTGGGTAGGTTTTGCAGAACAGAAAGAGGGTATTCGGAGACATGGTGTTTTACTGTTCCCTTTTCTTTAAGGATGATACACGCCACTTGCCAGGTGCCTGAATATCCTTATAATCTTATCCTGACCATCTTCTGCAATGTGCCTTAGGCTGCACATAAATAATATACTGTAACCAAATCCACAAGGGTTATACACAAAGCAGCAGAATGTAATAAGCCCTGTTACAAGAGCAAGCAATACACCCTATATGGAGCTAGCAGGAAGAGGGGAACTAAGCAGAAACAGGATCAACACCAAGTTTGCCTATAGCAGTAATGTGGGTTTGTAACTGACCCAAAGACACATTATAATAATGATCAGGGATGTACACACACATTTGGTGTTGATGATAGCATGGGTACTTCCCTTGTTACAGTCAGCATGTCTTCTGCCATTCTGTTCAAAAGTACCACCTTTGACATTTGGGTCATTTTTTCATTAAGCAAAGTCCCGCTCTGAGTGTTAGCTAAGGCAGCAGCAGAACGGTTAGCTAAAGCCTCAACCTGGAACTCAGTGGTAATGTGTGTTGCTTGTGGAGAAAGCACAGCACGTGGATAAAGTTATCAGTCAGCTTGAGTTTCTTTATGTCTAGCTTTGACCAGTTCCCAATTAGCAGGAGTCATAGACAAAGTGGGAAGTATGCAGCTTCTGTATAAGGTCCCCCCAAGTCTATGGGCAAATCCAGTTATGAGGCAGATGTGGCCATCCATGGGAGCCAGATGCCCGTAACCATCCACGAGGGAGGGGAGGTGCTCCTGCACGAACTTGGCTTTGTCACCCTAAGTAGTCAGTGTCTTTGAGTAGGATAAACTGCACTGATCGACAGGGGTCCAAACTATATTTACAGAGGGTGGAGAGGTGTTACTGCCATTCTTTCTTTCTATACGGAGAGAAATTTTTCTTCTCGTTTTCACCTGTGTTGTACTTTAGCCATCCCAAGCCATTAAGCGGTGTGCCCCAACAAAGGCTTAGCCATGTTTCTTTGTTCTCTTACTAAGTAGAAGACATATTTGATGTCCATAAAAGAAGGTAAATTTGGGGCTGGGGTTGTGGCTCAGATTAAAGCACTTGCCTAGCACATGTGAGGCCCTGCGTTCCATTCTCAGCATCACATAAAAAAAATAAATAAATAAAAATAAAGCTATTGTGTTCAACTACAACTAAAAAATAAATTTTTTTAAAAAAAGAAGGTAAATTTACATTCAAGTCCACAGGGCAGTTGGTGAGCTGTGTCCATGAGTGGTGGGTGTTTTTCCAGCTTGACATTTATTTTTATTGTACCAAGGTCCCAGATGTAGGCACTGAAGGAGACTGGTGGGGGAGGACAGAGGCAGCTAACTGTCCATCCAGAAATCTATTTTGTTCTGCATCTCCACAAAGGCATTTGCCATTCTGGATGTAAATAGATTAGCTCTAAGGATGAAATATAGATATTTTAATAGGTGTTAACATAGGCAAATATTGACTATCTAACAATACATAAACAACCTGATCACTATAAGTGAGAATAGTACAAGCTTGTGGCCCATTCCTAGGTTTACAAAACCATATTTCTTGTTGCAGTGGTCCTGTGATTTTGATAGACAAGCATATAATAATATGACATACTTTTCTGTAGGGTTTGAATATCTTGGCTTACTAGTTTTTTTAAAAAAAAATTATGTTTTTCATTCTAGTCCCTTTGCCCATAGACCTAGGAAACCATCACCATCAAGTCTCTATTTGCCATTCCTATGGCCACTAGACTATACGGGTCCCTTGTGGCAGGTCCTGCCGTAGCAGCAACAACAAATTATCCCCTGTTCCCAGTGAGTGCAGATATGCCTCTTAAGCATCCTCATCTTTATCCATATGGTGCTGTCAGGCAGGCACTGTGGCATATGCTGCAGTTATGTTTATTGATGGTCCTTATGGCCAGCCGTAGTTGTTTGGTCCACGCTGCCAAGGATCCATCTTCCACGTTTCGTGTTGTTTTAGTGGGCCATTCATTTGAACAATCAATCCTGCTGTAGCTGGGTTAGAAGGTAAGTGGAAATTCCAATGTATGTACAAATTCTCAGCCTGTTTTTGCACCTCGTGGCCAGAAGGATGTGTTCCATGAGTGTGCTACACATGGTGCCAAGTATATGAAGTCCACGTATGGTTGCCTTCAGTGTGACCTTTTTGTAAGCATGTGTCCATAGCAGTCCAGTATGTGTATCTGCAAACTTGCAGCCTTTTAGTAGCAGCAAGGGCCTGAGAAGCCAAACTGCACTTTTGTACAGGTACCTCCCTTGAACTGTCCACTTGCTATATGAAGTACTGGCCACACTGCTTCACAGGATGTCAGAGTCACACAAATACAATGTCTGAGTGTCTTTGTGGGAGCCTCCATTGCTTTGTTATGGGACAGAGAGCTCTTCTTATTGGCTCTGTTGGCCTTCTTCC